ACACACACACACACACCAAGTGCCTAAGGGCGCCTAATATGCAGTTGTACTTCCCTCATCATTCTGATACAAGGAAACAAGTCTAGTTTTCAGTATTGTTATAGTCTAAAAGATTCCTACTTCTGTATGTTAAATGCTGATGTATTTTATCTAAAAGGATTTGGCCAATATGGTGATACTGGCATTGTTAACTTGACCAACAATTAATTCACCTACATTTACCTAATGACACGTTTCCTGACCACTTCTGCTGCTGTCCCATCTATAACCTAGGTCAGGGCATCTTAGCTCATTTGTGTGTCATCTGTTGAAGCTTTTAATAAATGCCTTCTAAGAATGCTGTTGCGGTTTTTGAAAATTTAATAGTCAGAGGAATGATTACATTTCAATTAGAAGTTAGTCAAAATAAAGGTGTATTTTTTCCCAGCCAAGTTCCCAGACCCCGTGACAACTCTCATCAAATTCCTCAAGGGTCAGTGTAACTCAAGTGAAGAGCCCCTGCCATAGATAAAAATAACTTCTTTGAAGCTGAAGCCCCCTTCTCACTGGGAAGCTTTCCCTGAGTATGCCAGACGAGCTTCTCTGAAAGGCTGTGGCTGACCTAGCCTGGACTTCATAAGCTGCGTCTAATCATGACCCTGTGTTTTTTACAGTTGTTCAATTTCTGCACAATTTATTCCTCAGTGACCCAGAAAGCAGCTGAAGGGCCCTCTATGAACAGAATCTTCTTTCAGTAACTTGCTATTTATCACTGTTCTACTGAATAATCAAGTTTTCAGTCATTATCAAGCAGATTTTACTTTCATAAAAAGTTGTAGAGATCAGAGGAATGGATTCGGGGAGTCCAATAGCATTTACTGAGTCTCCTCTGGACTAGGCGCTGTTCTAGGCAGCTGGGGCAGATGGCCTCGGAGGCCCCGTCAGACTCTGGATTGATGATCCTGTGAGGTCCTCAAGCTCACCAGGAAGTCTGAAGGCTCCAGGTGCTGGTTCGTCAGAGAGGAGTGCACCCCCCACTCCTCCTAATTCTAAATCCTGTAATACCATGGATGTCCACCGGGTGGAAGGAGGGTCCCTGCTTAGGAGATAAATGACCAATGCCTCCTTCACACTGGGAGGAATTCTTAGGGTTCTGAAGGGATGGGATGATGAAATCATGATGATTGAATGACTGTTTAGAATCGGCAGAATCACAGGTATTAGCACTTGAAAGCAATAATAATAATAACAGTGTGCATTTCTATAATAAGCTTTGCAAAAGCACTTTCTAAATATGATCTCATGTAACCTTCACACCCACCCTGGGAGGGAGGTGCTATTATGAGCCCCATCTCAGGAAACCTGAGGTGAGAGGGTAAGTGACCTGCTCAGGGTCACAGAGCTATGAAGTGTCTGAGATGGGATTTGAACTTGGGTCTTCCTGACTAAGTCAGAGACTGCACTAACTGAGCCACCTCACTACCTTGAAATTTAGACCCACGTTCTGCTGCAAATGAGGAATGTGAGCCCCAATTTCATCTCACGTGGATGCGGAAGAAAAACGCAATTCATCTGCTGGTTTACCATTCCCCTGACTTTGGACAGGGCCAGGTGGGTTGGTTTCAGGCATGCCATTGAGGCCCAGGGGCTGCAAACACAGGAGCTGGAAGCTCACGGCTGTGACACACAGGGACGCCTCCTCTCCCCTCTCATCCTGCTTATGCCTTTGTCTGAAGGTTCCAGAGATATTTACAGATTCCAGGGGAGATCCCTGGTAGAAACAGGGGATTCAGAAGGAGATCTGCAGAATGAGGTATCTGTATTTAAGGGATTCAATGGAGATACAGAAGGAAGGTTTCAGAGGCAGACCTCCACAGGTCTATCCAGACCAGGCCTCCTCCAGGGCTGCTGCTAGAATTTGGAGTTTGGGCTTGGGAGGCCCCGTGGTAGAGTGAAGACCTGAGGTCAGGTCCTAACTCTGGCTTTCACTGGATGTGTGGCTCTGAGCACCTCCCTGAGCCTCTCTGTGCCTCAGTTTCTTCATCAGTAAAATGAGGATAACATTTGCATTGTCAGTGATACTAAAGCTAATAAGAAGCTAGATCTCTTGCTTTGAACCTATGAGCTACAAGGAGACAGAAAGGAAGAAGGCAAAGCCCAGGTCCTTATAGGGCAAGCTAAGGTTTGGGATGGGAAGGCCTTGGTTTGCCAGACCCTGACCCCAGCACACACATATGTGGCTCTAAAAGGATGTTGACCCAACAATTGTTCCCAATGGGCAGTCTCAACATCCTTCCATGGCCCTATGTGTATTGAGTGGCTAGTAGCAAAGGCCAGGCAACTCCTTCATATGAATCAACCATAAGTGGGGGGAAAATCAGCATTACAAAATTTAGGAGTCCTTTGGGCCCTCAGAGGTCAGCTAGTATAACCAGCGATGTCAGACTGAAACAGAAACTTATTGTTGTTATTATTCAGTCATTTTCAGTCATGTCCAACACTCTGTGACCCCATTTGGGATTTTCTTACCGAAGATACTGGAGCAGTTTGCCATTTCCTTCTCCAGTTCATTTTACAGATGAGGGACTGAGGCAAGCAGGGTGAAGTGACTTGCCCAGGGTCACACAGCTAGAAAATGTCTGAGGCCATATTTGAAAACAGGAAGATGAGTCTTCCTGACTCTGGTCCCTGCACTACATCCACTGCACCACTTGGCTGCCCCCAAAGAGGAATGGGAGCCACATTATCTGTACTTACCGCAGCCACATACTGCCTTAGTTTGAAATGAAATGTTACCTGCTTTATTGTATTTTCATGTCTTTGTTAAGTATCTCCCAAAGACACTTTAACCTGCTTCCAAAGCATTGCAGCACGTTGCAGCCAGGCAGCAGGCTGTGCATTTGACCCCTCTGGTCAAACCTACATCTGCATGGAATCCACACTCTAAGAAAGCCCATGAGGGTTGGTCACTCAGTCCCTCCAAGGCCAGGCCTCCTGGAGCAGCCCCTCCTGCTTATGGACACCTGTAATGGTTAAGAGGTGGGATTTGGAAGGCTGGACTCTGGGGGTCACAGAGTTTGGAGACCAGGGTCAGAAAAGCAACTCCAGTTCTGAGAGCTGTTTCATATTTCAGTGAACTAATTAATCATCAGGGATAGAAAAGCAGCACTTTCGTCCTGCTCCTTGTAAGCCATGTGGAGACAGGGAGTCTCGTGAGAAAAGACAAGTCCTCCATGTATAATCCTCCACAACTGGATGACCAAGTGATTGATAAATCTTATAAGGAAAGCTCTTCCATGTCCCCTGTATAACTCTAAACACTGGGCTACGAGCCAGAGTGCGGTTATCTACGCCGACCTGAGAATTTAGCCAGTTCTCAGGAAGGTGTGCTCTGGGAACCCAGCCAGTTCATCAGAACATATCAAGTTAATTAGTATCCTAAGATGTTTTGCCTGCTCCAGGAACTTGGCCAGTTCCTGGACCAAGTGAAAACATCTCTTGGAATCATGGACACCTCTGGCACGAGGCCTTCTTTGTTAGAGGCCCCATTTAAATCCTACTTAGGAAAGCCATCTTTGGATTCTCACCCCTGGAGAGGCCGCTCTGCCTGGGACTTTCCTGATCGGGGCCCTGAAAGCTGTGCCCCGGGAATCCCCAGCTTGGACGTCGGCTGTTGGTGCTTCCCGGAATTGGTGATGTTTTCTTATATCAGTGCTGTCCTTTGTGTTCTTAGCCTGCTGTTGTCGTATTGCTAATTGTATGTTGCTGTAAATCTACTTTTCCTATACCTATATCATCATCTTAACTAAAGCTACCTTCACTTCTCTCTCCAGGAGTGCGTCTCATTGTAGGAGCGAATCCGAACCACGCTTTTCTTCCTTAATCACACACCAAGGAAAGAGCAAGCTTCCGGGCTCAGAGAGGAAGACAGCTCCACTCCCTTGAAGCTCTTTCCCCACCTCAGCCCCAAGGCTCCAGACAGGATCTGGGCTAAGATGGCTCGAAGCCCAGGGGAGATCCTCCACCCACTCATTATCACAGAATCCCCAGCCTGCTTGGGAGAAGAGGCTCTGAGAGAGGCCTCCAACCCTCTGGGACAAAACTACATCCCAGCTACTCAGTGTATCCAACGTGATCCGGGATCTGGCCTGATGTATTTGTAGCGAATGTTTTCCCTTAATTGAGGCCTATCAGCTAGGAGACACTAGGGCCTCAGTCTCTGCTGCTTCCACCACTGTGACGCCTTCTTTAGATCAACGAATAATGGTAATGGACACGTCTACACCAGCAATTTTAGAACAAGGGAGCAAAACTTGGGTGGCCAATTGTCTGATGCTAAGCTGAGATGATGACTGTAAGATGGGAGAGAAATAGGAATACTTAAAACATTCATCTTTTTTGGGAAGAAATACTAGGGCAAATCAAAGAGGGAAAGGCAGATATTCCCTGAAGCCTGGATCATTCCAAAGGGGAAAGGAGAGATCGACTGGCTCTAACCACGTACAGGGTCAGGACTCCAGGGAGACGGAGAAGGGGCAGGGTCCTCTTTCTGTTTAGAAACTAGATATTCCCCTTCATTAACTCCAAAGGGAAACCCTTCCCTTCCTCAGAGGCGAAGAGCCCCCACTCTGGGACAGTCTGAAAAGGGGACCAGGAGGTCACTCCCTGCATGGCCATCACCAACAGCGATGGAGTCCCAGGGTCCTGCAATGGGCCCAGAGCAGAGGCCACAGAAGCCCTTAGGGAGGCCCCTGCAATGGAAAAAAAGCAGGGATATAGGCACAAGGTGGGAGGAAAATGGCAACAAAATAGAGAGAACTGGGACTCCCTGCAAGTCCATGCTGAGGGGCCGCCTATGGGCCAACACTCTGTTTGTGCATCGTTCCAGTTCCAGGAGGAGAAGCCCTGGAACAAGTCCCAATACACCACATCCACAAGTGCAAAGACAAGCCTCCGCACCTTCACCGTGTACCATACACCGGCCCTCCCCCAGGGCCCCCGCAAATAAAAGGATTCTCAGACAGCTTCAAACTTTCTTTTATTTCCCCTCCATATGGACAGAACATCTCCACATAGTCATTCTGTCCCCTAAAATGCCCCACCCAAATGTGAAGCTTAGCTGAGACTGGGGAGAAAAGCTGAGGACTCAAGAACAATAATTCATTAGGCTGTTTTTTGCTATCAGACAAAGCTTCCAGAGGTCAGTGCAATGTCCAATGTGAGGGAGGGCTCATTGCCAAAGGCCTCTGGCCCTCACTGCTGGTTGTCTCTGCAGAGTGAGACAGGCAGAAGGAAAGCAAGCAGGGGAGGGAGGCCTTAGAGAGCAGGGTGAGGGCCCTAATGATGCTTCTCCAGGCTTGGGCCAGTAAAGTCCAGGGAGGATCCCAGGGGCCATGCTGGGGAGAGAAGCCGGGGGTCCACAGGAACAACACAGGGACTGCAGACTGGTTTTCCTCCTCAGGCCCACACCAGGAAATTCTCTCAAGCTGAAGAAGGAAAGACAGACTCAGGGAGACCCTCCAAGCCCCTCTGCCTCCAGCCTCTCATCATTCTGAAGGGCCTGCCTCACCACCCATCCAGTCCTCAGCCCAACCTCTCACCACCCTCCTCTGTGCTTGGCCCCCTTTACCCCAGCCCCTCTCTCCTTTCAGGCCCCCAGAGTCTCACCTTTGATCGGGAGAGAGACATCTGATCCCTGTGCACTGTCATTACCTGGAGACAAAGGAGGGAAATGACCCAGTCAGGGACATACATCCCAGAACCGGGGTATGGGAAGGGAAGGGGACACCAAGGCAAGGCTACTGGGCTAAGCCTCTCCTCTGCCTTCCCATTGCTCAGGTCTCTGAGATACCCTGGGCTGGGCCCTTCCTTCTACCCTCTATGTCAACTCTTCACTTACCTGCAGCAGGAACATAGTTCCCTCCTTTTCCACCTGGAAAAGAAACAAATTCCCAGTGAGGAATCCAGGAGAGGAGACCACACCAAGGTCTCAGGAGTCACTGGTTTGTCTTGGAGACACAAATTACAACTGGGACTGCACCCCCACCCCCCACTCCAGTCCAGCCTCTGGATCCAAGAGGAAGAGAGAAGAGGCCCCCCAAATGGGCACTTCCCCACCTCCAGGCCCGCCTCCAGGGGCTCCCACGGCTGGTCTACAGCCCCCAGCTGGGGGACACCCAGGCCCTCTGGCAGAGATCCCCATATTCACTGCTGATCTGAGTCTGAAGCAGATGCCCCACTAGGCCAGCCTGTTACACCCCCTTCTACTTGTTCATCTGGAGTCTCGGGGCCCCTCTGACAGTCCCTTAGATGGGAAAGAGAGCACTTGGGGACAGAAATGGTGCCTGCTCCCTAAGGGCCCCCTCCCAGTGCTGCCCACCTGAATTCTTCCTCCGCCAGATCACAACTCCAGCAATGCCTGCAATGAGGAGGAGGAGGAGGAGGACAGCAATGACCCCCACGATGAACCAGGGGAATGAGGACTCTGGCTCTGAAATGGAAAAGGGCAGTGAGAGGCCCTGGGATTCACTAACCCCTCCTCCACCTCCCCAGTCACCCCACCTCCCTCTGGGCTTTTGGGGTCACGGTCCTTACCCCACTTCAGGGTGAGGGGCTCAGGCAGTCCCTCGTGCTGCACTTGGCAGGTATACTTCCCTTCCTGGCCTGAGGTCACCTCCACACCTGCCCACTTCTGGAAGGTCCCGTCTCCCGCCGGCCTGGTCTCAATGAACTCTGTGTCCTGGAGCTGTTCCTCCCCATCCCGCAGCCAGGTCAGGGAGATGTCCGCGGGGTAGAAGTCCTGGGCCCGGCACCGCAGGGTCACCCCCCCGTGGGGGGCAGTGTGGCTGGTCACTCGGGCAGAGGGCGGGTCTGGAGACAAAGGTCAGCGGCATTTCCAGGTTCTCCCCGCCTCCCCTCCGGGGGTACAAGAACAGGTGGGGGCAGGGGGACACTCCGCAGTCCGGGCCCTGGGGTATAAGGGGAGCCCGGGGGCCGGGAGCCCGGGGCTGGGGCTGCAGGGGAGCGGGGGCCCTGAGTGCTGCGCACACTGGGGGGGGGGGTGTACCTGCCCGCTGCAGCGTCTCCTTCCCCATCTCCAGGTACTTCTTCACCCACAGCACGCACGTCTCCTCCAGGTAGGCTTTCTCTCTCTCCGCGATGCTCCTGTCCGCCTCCCACTTGCGCTTGGAGTTCACAGCGGGCGGCACCGCCGCCGTCCACGTGGAGGTCTCCGTGTCCAGGGCCAAGTAGTCGCGCCCGTCGTAGGCGAATTGGTAAAACCCGCGCTGGAAGGTGAGCTCCGGGGACACCTCGCAGCCGACCATGCGCTGGATGGTGTGGACCCCTGCCCGCCCCGCCCCCGGCCCGGTCAGCGGCCGGGCTCCGGGCTCGGGCTGCTCCCTGCCCCGCCCCCACGCGGTCTCCCCGGGACCCCCCGCCCCCACCCGGTCACGCACCGCCCTCGCTCTGGTTGAAGTAGCCGCGCAGGTTCTTCAGGCTCCTTCGGTAAAACTGCGCGTTCTCCTTCGAGACCTGCGTCTGCCGCTCCCAGTAGCCCGGCTCCTCCCGGTCCACCCGCTCCATCCACGCCGCCCGCGGCTCCATCCTCGGACTCGCGCGGGCGCTGTCGAAGCGCACGAACTGCTGATCGTCCACGTAGCCCACCTCGATGAACCGCGGCTCCGCGAGCTCGGGCCCGGACACGGCGGTGTCGAAATACCTCATGGAGTGAGAGCCTGGACGTGGGGACCAGGGCGGGGGCGGGGGTCAGGGGGTGACCGCGTAGACACAGGGCGGGGCGCGCCCCCTGACCGCGCCGACGGGGGGCGCGACCCTTGACCCCGACACGCCGGGGCGACCTCCGACCCCGCGTCTACCCGGGCGTGAGCTTTGACCCCGTCGCGACCAGAAGGTGACCCCGGACTCCTACCCCCCCCGTATCCGGCCCCTCCGCCCCCAACAGTGAAGGCGGCGCACCGCCCCGGGAGGTAATAATGCTCGAGGCTACAGCGCTTTGAGATCAGCAAAACGCCTTCCCTGACAACCCAGGCAGGTCCCAGTGCCTCCATCCGGACCTTGCCCCCTCCCCGCCCCCACCTCTGGTCCGGCTCCGGCGTCTCTCGCACTCCTCACCCCCAGCCCCCCACCTTGGGTCCTCGCCTGCCCCCGCCCCCCACGATCCTTGGTGAAGCTCTTTAACGAGCCGCTCCCGGTTCTGTGTCCTCGCCCTGGGTTGGGGGGTGGGGCTCTGCTCCTTGTTAACGCCCCCAGGACTGTCGCACCCATTCTCCCTCCCGGCACCTCTGCCTCAGCGCCCCTCGTCCTCACCCCCACCCACCAATCCACTCACCCCCCCCAAATTAAGGGACCGACACCAACACCCCCTCCCCCTCCTGCCAAAGCCCAGGTACTGGTCCCCGGGTCTCTCTCACACCCGCACACGCACACACACACACTCTCTCACACACGTACACATACACACACAGAGACACGCACACGCACACTCTCCCCCCCCACACATTCACACGTACACACATACAGACACACACATATATATACACACACACACACTTTCCCATACACACACACATACACTCCCCCCCACACTCACATACACTCACTCTCTTACACACACTGTCACACACTCACAGAGACACACACACATACACACACCCACTCTCACACACACACACATACACACTCCCTCTCTCACACACACACAAGCACACGCACGCGGCTGCTTCCTTTCACCATCACTCTGACTTGTTCACCTGCCATTAAGGAGCCGGTTCCCCGGAAGCCCACCCTGGGCTGGTGCCGGAGCAGCTTTCTGTAGGAAACCCCACCCCACCCACACGTCCACCCCGCAATGCTGTGTCCGCTCCCCAGGCGGCCGCTCAGGTCTGTTCTGTACTTGCCTGCCCAGGTGTCCGGCAGGGCCAGGGCCAGGGCCCCCAACAACAGGAGACAGCGCAGACAGGGCTCCATGGTCCAGGCGGACAGCACAGGATCACCGAGACCTGTCTGCGCCGGTCTTTATACGGGGGCCAATCCATAACTTGTGGTTGGCTTGACGGAGGCTCTGCCGGCCAATAGCAAACGAGAGGAAAAGAAACGTCATCGGTGACTGGGCAGAATGAGCCGGCACAGGTTAGGAGACCCAAACTGAAACTGACTCGGAGGAAATCCCCAGCTTTACAGACGTTCCCAGAACAGCCTCTGAATCTGTGCAGCGCCCGAGTCTCCCCGCCCCCATCCCTCCAGGAACACGAGGCTATTCTGCTCCCAGCTTGAACCAGAGAAAAAGAAGGCCCTTCCAACCCCCAGCCCTCCTCAGTGTGACCCTTTCCCCTCCTTGGAAGTGAGGAAGACCATGTCCCTACCCAAAATTGGGGGTGTCTGAGGAGTGAAGAAATGTGCAGATTGGTGGAGGGCTGTGTTGCCACCCCCGTTTTACTGACCTCCATCCCAGCTGTGACTCGGCAAGTCTTGTAACCTTCCCAGGCTGTGTAGATAAGCAAGCAAGGGACCCAAGAATAATGACTGAATTAGAGTTGAATAAATGGAATTTGGAATCAGAGTGGAAGACTTTGTCTCACCGTAAAAGGGGCAGCTAGGTCCTCCAGTGGTTAGAGCTCAGGGCGTGGAGTCAGGAAGACCTTAGTTCTAATCCAGGCCTCAGACATTTACTAGCTGTGTGACCCTGGGCAAGTCACTTAACCCTGTTTGCCTCAATTTCTTCATTTGAAAAATGAGCTGGAAAAGGAAATTGATAAGAAATGAGGTCACTCCAATTGATAAGAAATGAGGTCACAGAGCTAGATTCAACTCAATAACAACAAAAGGAAAGAGCTTAATAAAATGGGAAGGAGTACTATTTCAGCCAAAGGTTGGTTCTGAACTGCCTGAAATATGAAGATGTGAATCCCCAGTGACCTTTATTTTTTTTTTCAGAGACAAAGAACCTGGGCACGTTTGGTGGGATTTTCCCTCTTTCTTGTCTCATCACCCCATCTAGGAAACTATTACACTCCAAATTTTAAAGAGAGTATAAAGTTACCCTTGGAAAGGATCTTAGAGATAATATCCTTCATTTTACAGAGCAGGAAACTGAAGGCCAATGATGTTGAGAGATTTTTCCAAGGTCGTAAAGATAGGAAGTAGCAAAATTGAGATTTGCACCTCCATTCTATCACTGCAAACTCAATCCTCTTTCCCCAAGCCCAGGCTGGTCTAGAGATCCTGATCTAAGTCCTGAATGAGCCTCCCCTGGTGGAGGACACCTGAACCCTTCAAAGCATATTGGAGTCAGCACTATGTGGAAAGGCAAGGAAAGAGCTGAATAATTCTGTTTATCATTTTCTGCTACCAGACCCTTCAGACCAAGTCCTGTCCCATCTTTCTTCTTTTGATCTCAATGGAGCTTTAAAAAATTTCTCGGGGCAGCTAGGTGGCATAGTGGAAGAGCACCGGCCCTGACGTCAGGAGGACCTGAGTTCAAATCCGGCCTCAGACCAAACACTTGACACTAGCTGTTTGACCCTGGGCAAGTCACTTAACCCCAATTGCCTAAAAAAAAAAATTTCTCCTAAAACCCCCAACCGTTTTCATATTCCACTGTACTTCCCTTCTCCACAGCACAACTGTCTGATGCACCATTTTTATAAGGAAGAATGTAGATAAGTCTTGAGATTTTTCCGTCCTTTCAGCGATATCTCCCCTGTGAAAAGCTAGGATGCAGCCTCCTCAGCCTTTGTCTCCCTCAGCTGCTAACACTGTCCTCTCTCAGAATCTTTCATATTCTCTTCCCCCACCCCCCAGACTCCTCTAAGCAGTAGTTCTGCAAGACCCTGACTTGGTGAGGCCCCAGCTGGAGGATTACGTTCAGTTTGGGCCACCACATTTTAGAAAAGGTGTGGATAGTGTGTCCGGAGGAACGTGTCCAGAAGACAAGGACCAGAATGGTGGGGGGACCAGAGAACTTGCTACGGAGGATTAGATGAAGGAACTGGGAGTGTTTCCCTAGGAGAAGAGAAGATACTGAGGGGAGAAGACAGTTGTCTTCAAGTATTTGAAGGATTGTTTGGGTGAATCCAAGAGGGCACAAGTAGGACCTGAGTGAATATTGCAGACGGGCTCATTTCACCTAGGAATTAGGTCTGTCTAGAAGTGCAATGCTGCTTCCCCTTCTTGGAGGTCCTTGGGCAGGGACTCAGTGATCACATGGTTAAGATATAAAAGGGACTGTTGTTCAGATGGGAGCTGGAGTAGCTACCTAAAGTACCTGGGAACTCTTAGTCTCTGATCCTGAGTTGTCAGCCCCAACCATGAGCATCCATGCCTGCAAGTGAAAAAGCCATTTTCTGTCCTCAGTCATTCAAATAGGAGAGGGAGAGAAAAGGAGAAAATACCTAGGACTCAAAGCATATATATTGTTTTTGTTTAATATGAGTTTTAACATAGTGTTAAGTCTGCGGCTTTCAGGACACAAGGGGGGGAGGTGGAATGCAGTGACCTTAGCTATGTTAACTGGAGGCATGCAGGAAGCCATTTTAGGCATTGTAGGCCCTGGACCCTAGAGATAGTGCTGCCCAAAAGAAAGCAGTAAGAAGCAGAGTCCAGCAGGTGCTGAGAGAGAGCAGGAAGGGGAGAGGGAGAGACAGAGAGAGGGAAGAGAGAAAGAAGGGCACAGAGACAGATTCAGAGAGACAGAGGTGGGGAGAGAGGAAGGGAGGGAGACACACAGAGACAGGGTGGGGGAGAGAAGAGCACAGGCAGAGAGAGATGGAAAGAGACTGAGAGAAGTAGAGGGATGGATGGAGAGAGATGAGAGAGATGTGGAGATAGGGAGAGAGATAAGGGGGAAGGAGAGGGAGAGCCAAGCCTTCTAATATGGCGTGAAACAGCTGCCTAAAGAAAGAAGCCTGGGCTAGTCATGGATTTGGCTCTAAGGAAAAGGACGGCAGGAGCAGAGTCGAAAGCGAATCTGAAAGAGGCATCTGAGGTTAGAGAAAATGCTTGACCGACTTCAGCAGTTGAGGATTGGCAGGAAAGGCTGCTCTCTGGCGCCATCTACAGGGTTTAGGGGAGGAAAGGACCAGGCGAATGTGGTAAGAATTCTAGACTGTCCAGAAAAGAAAATGACCAATGTTGAGGGGCTGCAGGGAGACAGGCCTGTTGGTCCCCTTTGGGTGAGGCTGTGAATTGGCCCAATCATTATGGGAAGCAGTTTGGGACTGTGCCTCCAAAGTGATTCTATTATGTGTGATGCCCTTTTACCCAGCAGGACCATATCTAGGTCTCTATCCCAAAGGGATCAAAGAAAGAGGAAAAGGTTGTTTAACAGATAAATAGATCTCTCTCTCTCTCTGTCTCTCTCTCAGAGAGAGAGGACACAGAGACAGACTCAGAGAGTCTGTATGTATGTATGTATATATACACATATGTACATATATGTATATATACACACCGTTTTATATATGTATGTATATATATATACATGCATACATACATACACACACACATTTTAATTATAACACCTTTTTTTTTGTAATGGCAAAGAACTGGAAACTGAAGCAGTATGCACCTGTTTCATACTGGCTAAATGTATTTTGGTATGAATGGTGATGAAAGAGATGATTTCAGAGAAACCAGGGAACTTGTATGAATCAATGCAGAGTGACATAAGCAGAACCAGGAGATCAATTTGTACAAAAAACAATGTTGTAAAAATAAACATTTTTGAAGACCTCACAAATTGTGATAAGCACAATGAGCAACCCTGATTCCAGAGGTCCAACGATGGAGAATGCTACCCACCTCAAATGACTGACTAAATCTTGAGAATGAGACACATCTTTGGACATCTCCAATATGGGAAATTGTTTTTGCTTGACTTGCGTCTGTTTATTACAAGGGTTTTTTTTTTCATATGGGGAAGAGGGATGAGTGAGGGAAGGTGGGAGGAAGGAAAAACAAATTCTTGATAACTTAAATAGGTTGTATTTTAAAATTTTAACTAAAAAGATAATTGAAAAATAATTTAATTTTTAAAAGACAAAACCTATCACTAATTAAGAAAGGGGTTACAAGGACTGGTGCACCATGGCCTTGTGAGGTACAGGAATCCCAGAATATGTAAGAGAGAAACTCTGGGAGGCTTTATGTGGCTAACCAGGCTATATTATTGGCAGAGCTTTCTGAAGAAAAGAGACACATAGGGCTCAAGGGCACCGAAGACCTCCATCTTGAGAGAGAGAAACACATGATAATCTTCCTAAGCCCTGCAGCCAGGGACAGAAAGAACCAATTAGATAGGAAGGATGACTGCATTGCTTGGGCACCTCTCCCCCAGCTCTCCACCATGGGCCACTAGGAGCATTTCACTCACTCCTCTGCATATGTGGGTCAAATGCTACCTGGTGGCATTTTGCTTTATGTAGAAAGCTCTCCAATTTTCCCCAGTGGAAAGAATTGGGAGGACATTATCCCATAGAAACAATTCAGACTTGTAAATAGCTTACTTTGGTGGGGAGGCAATTGGGGCTAAATGTTTGACTTGCTTAGCAGCAACTAGTTGACAACTTGACTGAAACAGACAACAACTTGACAACTAATGAGTGTCAAGTGTCTGAGGATGGATTTGAACTCAGGTCCTCCTGACTCTAGGGCTGGTGCTCTATCCACTTTGCCACCTAGCTGCCCCAAACAGGTTACTTTTAAGTAAACTTAAAGGTCCCACACTAATTCTTAGATGCCTTGCTCCTTGATCTGTCCTCATAATCTGTCACTTTGCCTCGTGTTTCTTTGGATCTTTAGCCCTTTCACCATGATATTGTTCTGCTTTCCTCATTCCTCCTGCCAGCAAAATCACTCTACTTGGCACCAATTATACTGTATTTATAATTTCAACTCATTTTTCTACATTAGTTTGTAAATGCCTTTGTTTCCACATTTCCAGAGATTTCCCAGCTGTTCCTAGGACTCAATTACTACCTTATTCAAAGAATCCATCATAGAATCA